AAGAACCCCACGTTGGGCAAGCTATTTCTAATAAAATTTCATATAACACGACGACGATTTTTACTGTTGAATTAAAATGTAAGTTTTTATCTTTAATGAGAAAATAATTATTTTAATAGTCGGGCATTTGAGTAAATACTTGCGGTTACGTTAGAAGAGATTACATTTATTACAAAAGTGTAAATGGTTTCATAATTCGTTATATGAATTTAAGACCATTTAAAATAGAAAAGTTATAGCATTGAAATTATCGATATCGCACTCTACAGCATAGCGAAGCTAACTTGTGCGATACCGATGGCGTAATAATAATAATAATAATAATAATAATAATAATAATAATAATGTATCGGAGTTTCTATAGCCAAGAAGATATGAATAACGTTCGCTGGAGTACCAATTGTTTTAAGGGATAAATATTTATGAAAAATAATCTATTAAGCACGTTGATAATTAAAAGTAAGTAAATTCGCGTCATTTTCATCCGTTTGTGCCGATTAATTGATATTTCTTGGCGACGTGGTGACCTAAAGGCGATTTACGTTGTTGTTGCCGTCGCCGCCGCATCATCTGCCGTCGGTAGAATATCTCGTGCCAACTACCCGGGGGATATTAAAGGCTCGTCATTTTGAGCTTACGATTTGCGGATAAAACGGGAGTATGTAACCAACCATTTAGCTGCATGACGTTTCGAAGGCGTTCACAGATACAGACGGCGCTTACATCGTACAATGACGTATGTAAAGAAGAGGTGTGTCCATCGCGATGAGCCGCATTTCATTTAATTGGGAAACTAGTTTTATCATTATATTCTCCCAGTGACCGCATTGTTCTTTTTCTTTTATTTGCTTCTCATTTTTATTACAATTCAACGCTGATTTAGAAACGTTATAATGAAGCATCTATTATCGACTTATTTATTCATCTCTCATTAATAGAGAATTCGACGCCCCACCCTCACCCCCAGTCGCTGCGCACATTTTTTTCCTCTCCTCCCCCTCCCCCTCCCACCAAGTCTCTTAGCACATTTTTTTTCTTTATTAAGAGTAAGATTAATAAAGAAATAATTAATTAATTAAAATTAATTATTTAAATTAAATTAAAATTAAAATTAATTAATTAAAATTTATTAAAAATTAATTTAAAATAATGAATAATAAATAACAAATAAGCAACGACGAATCAAAGTCACATCAAAATGACGTCTATTGTAACATGATTTTTCTTATCTTATTAAAAGTCACTTAAAAAGTCTTTCTCGTAAAAAAAAAATAAATATAAAGTATATATTGTACATCTTTAATACATAATTAACGTTATACAGGCAATAAAACGATTCAGGATGTATATTTCCGTTGAACATTAACTAAACGGACATTGACGTTAAAACTTTTAAGCTGTCGTTAATTTGCTATAAAATCAAAGGTCGCATAAATAATTGACTTAACTCTATTTTATGGTATCTATTTGCGATAAGATGGGTGACAACATACCAATACTCTTCATAAATCAATTACGTTTGTATTTCTTTTTAATTAAAAAAGACATAAAATGATTTTTACGATGTAAATGATAATAATTCTATTAAATGTGATGTTCGAAATATTCTGTTAAATAAATTTTACAAAATGTAAGGGTGTTTTTCTAAATGTGAAGCTATGTCTGTTGGTCGTCATTATGTCCATATGTCAATTAGTAAATTGATATTAAAGAAAAAAAAATTCAGAGAAAAATGAATGGAAATCTTGCCGATTTGTGAAATAACTATTTTGTCAAATATAGATACTCCAATTGAAGAGAATCTAATTTCTTTACAGCTATTTAATAATTTAATAACTTGCATGACAGCCTATCTTTCGAGATTAACGATATGGATTCTGAACTTATAACGAGTAGTTTAAAGATATTAAATTCTTCACTTTTATTTTAATAATTATAATAGAAAATTTCTCTATTTTTACTTAACTTCCAAGTCTCCACCTCCCCCGCCTTCCCCCTACAAAATTATAGTTAGTATAGGGATTTTAGTATTCAATTTAATATTTTTGAATAATAATTATTTACATTTATAATTAGTATAGACTTTAAATTTGATACTTTAATTTAGTTTATTATAAGAGGCTTTTTCGGAATTTATACTGCATTACTATAAGACATTTTCATCTTATAAATTTGCATAAATTTTAGTCTGCAAGAATTATAAAAAGCTCGTTGATATTATTGTATTATACATTTTGTAAAAAAAAATAAATAAATAAATAAAAATAAAAACTTTTTCTACATATTTTTGCATCATTCTAAAGGAGGAGAAACATGTCGTCACATCGTCAATGATTAATCTAAAAATTTTTCCTTGTTCCAATAATCTTCGAATAACGAATTGGAATATATAATAACTTCATTGGTATACGTACGATTCCCTTTCGGAGAATAACGGTGACGAAATAGTAGCAGTAGACATGAGCTTCGAAAGTGTCAAGGTCGGCGAAAGTAAATCATAATGAGCTCATCCCTCGCTATCACGTGTGCATATATACTTTAAATTTTTAATTTCTATCATAATTTTTTTCCTATAGCTAAGCCATTTTCTTTGCCAAGCACCGCACTTATATTGATAATCTCTGTTTCAACGATTCAATTTCCTTTTTCTTCTTCTTCTTCTTCTTCTTCTTCTTCTTCTCTAATCGTACTAAATTCATGAATTTATATTTCCCACTATTATCATAAATCAAATAATATATATATTTTATTGGCGTTTACATAATTTTTAAACAAAATGTTTTATTAATCTTCGAAAGTTGGATTTGTTTCGTTTCAAATCGTCCTATTTAATAATAAATCATCTAAGCAAAGGTTGAAAATAATTAATTTTTGCTAATAATTAATATAAAGCTTTAATTGTGAAAATATCAGTTTCGAAGATTTATATAATTCTCAATATCTTTTATAAATATTATTAGCGAGCAATTATAATCAATGAGGTTGTTGAATAACCACTGTAGTACCGTCTAACTTAATCTTGACATAATAGAAAAAATTAATTATAATTTTTTAATTTATGTAGAAATTGTATTTCACTAATAACATATATCAAATAAATGCTCTTCTACGTCTTATTGCAATTTGTATTTCAAATTCGATCTTCAAGTCAGTGTAATGTATTTGAAACTTCTTTAATAAATACTGCAAGCCGTAATAATAGAAATAAGAAGCTAGGAAAAATAGATGGATAATATTGATAACTAAGAGATATTTGCTTATAATTAGATTTTCGCATGGTATGTGCTCCGATACTAACAAATTCCAATTTGGCTACTTACGAAAAAAAGTACCCATAACGAATATACTATTCAAAACTTTCGAAATTATGAGCATGATTTTAATTGATATTTATCCGTACAATGTAAACTCCAAATTGCCAGTTATGACCAGAACCATACATTGATCTAGTAGTAGTAGCAGTAGTTAATAAAAATAAAAGTTTCATTTTCAGTGTAAAAGTACATGTGTAAAATTAATTTTAAATACTCAAATGATTTTCAAGTATAGTTGGCACATTCTCATTGTTCTTTTACTGGTGTGCCGAGTGCTGAAACGCTAAAAAAGCTGATGAAAAATTTCCATAAAGTCTCGAATTTTCATAAAAATTAAATTAATCATACTAATGTAAAATCGTGTAAATGGCTGAACGATATCCTCGATCCTAAATACTCTTGAGCGGCTGGATTTTCGAGGTCGGAGTCGTTATTTTCCTGATTGAGCAGCTCCTGGTAAGTGCTTTCCAAAAGCAAACAATGGCAATTGGCGCAACCGAGGCGGCCGAGAGTCTAGCAAAATCCAAGCACTGGTGCTTCTGACTCTTCCACGCAGATATTACGGCCCCGGGATTCATTATTCTATATCAGCGCTTATCGCCTCGTAACTTTCCGCTCGCGTTACGCGACCTTTCGCGTCGTCTTCTATTTCCCTTCCTCCGCTTCTCTCATCACCTCAGCAACCCCACTCTCCCCGCACAATCTCTCTCTCTCTCTCTCTCTCTCTCTCTCTCTCTCTCTCTCTCTCTCTCCCTCTCACATACACACAAATACACGCACGCGCGCGCACACACACACACACACAAACACGCACACATACACGCATTTTCTTGTAACAAACAACCCTCAGAGCTTTCAGCCCCGCTACTAAAGTCCAGCTCTCCGTCTCTCTCTCTCTCTCTCTCACACACACACACACACACACACACACACACACCTCCTCGCTCACGGACCCTCCCATGCTCCCTCTACTTTTTAGCGATTCTTTGTTTATGAGCAGCGATGTGACAATATTTGCGTTCACCAAGCATGTTTATCAACATTGAAGAGCTTGTTGCGCGATCTCGAATCTGGGCTTTGGCGATGTTTGCATTGATAAGGGCAAAAGCGGTGGGGGGTGTAGGATACTCGTTCGTGAGCAATCTAATTTGATAAACTACTGAATATGTTACGAGAAAACTCTTTAGAAACATAATAGATATGTGTTTCTTTCGGTTAAAAGTCTTTCTTTCCAAGTAATCTTCCATTTTAGCACAGAATGAAAAAGTTTCTTTAACTGTTATAAAACAAAAATATTGAGTCTCGTAAATTATTATGTGGTCTGTATGGGAGATTTTGAAAGTAGTTCGCCAATAAAAATGAAATGAAAGTAATTCTGATAGAATATCCAATTGTTCTGAGGTACGTAATAGCACGTAGTCTACGTGAACATAATCGTTAATTTGGTTATAAAAATTTCTAGAAGCTTGTTTTAGATAGCCAACGGACTGTTAGATTTTGGAAATTTTAAATCTGTAATAATATTTAATTTATTTTATTTTAGACATGTTCCACTAAGTGAAAAAATATTAAAAAATTCATATAAAGCAAATTATTGAAAAATATGTAAATATGTATTATAGATTTATTATATTATTGGAATGAAATTTCAAACAGTTCAAAATAATTTTTTTCTTATAATTGCAGATGGCTTTACGGGCGATATCGTTCTCTGGTGCAGACTACTTTTGCCTGGCACAGCTAAGAGAATTTATAATCTACAAAGTAAAGCGCTAATTAAGTTATTTGCACGTATACTTAACGAAGACGAAAAGTTAATGATTGAGGATCTAGAAGAGGGTGACGTGGCACAAACGATTAAAACTTTCTATCAGAGAAACTCAACTATAAAATTCAACATGAGGAGTGAACTTACATTACAGGAGGTGAGCCAGAAAATTAATATCAAAATATGACAATTGCTAGAAACTAATTTCTGTAAATTTTCGAATGCATGTACGAATGCAGCGAAAAAGGCTTTCACATAATAATTATAAACCTACATATAATTGTAATTATAATTTATGTGTAAATTCCACTATATATAATTTAATGTTCTTTATTCGCGAGTGAGGCATCCGGCACTTTATTAGATAAAGAGAAAAGGTAAAGACTTTTTAGGCAAAATAATTTTGAATATACTTGATTTTCAGTAATTTTCAGAAATTCATTTGAAATAATAAATATCCCCAACTTTCACCTATACTATGCAAAAGTATTAATTAATAAGCCCATTGTCTCAACAAGTAAATATTTATAAAGTAAAGACTATTTTCGAAATATTTACTTTCTAATTATAATTGAAGTTTCAAAAACTTTTTGTATTTCTATAAAACATTCATACTTTATTGCGTATGGAAAGTAAACTGTGTGAATTGATCAATTTTGCAAAGTATTTGCTTCAATATAATATTAATAGAAAGCATCATTAAATTGGAAAAGTAATTGCTCAGATTGATTGGGCTTCTATAAAAATATGGCTTTTAAATCTGCAGACATTATCTCTTTCTAATTCTAGTAATACACACGCTCACACACACACACACACACACACACACACACATATATATATATATATATATATAGGATCTAAACCATTTGTATTTGATGTCATGCTATATCTTTTTATTCGCAATCTTGTCGAGATATTAATATGTCTTATACATATATCATATTTATTCATTTGATTTTGCCAAAAATAAATACGTATTATAATTTATATATTAAAAATTAATTGTAATTTATGATTTTTCGTTAAGAAAGTGAAATTAAAGTTAAATATTTATTCATGCAAGTTTATGTGTAAAAGTTTTAAAATATCAATGCTTTTAGATGTTGAATAAAATAAATTTAAGTGTTTTGTATGACGTAGCTGGCATATATAATCAATTCTTATAGTGTAAAAATACATTGTTTACATTCGTCAAAAACAAATCTTGCATTAATGTTCGTTTTCCTCATACGATTGGCTGCGATGTCAAATATTAATCGTTTATAAGAATAAAATCGTTACTAGTACATTAACTTAATTTCTAATGTAAACTAATGTATTATTTCCATGCATAGTTCCAACAAAGCGTCTTCTTAAATATAATGTACATAATATGTGCGCGCGCATGTGTGTGCGCGTGTGTGTGTGTGTGTATGAATTATTCCTAAAAATATTTATAAAACTTTGCTATTTAGAACGATTTTATTTGAAATTTAATTTGAAATCTACAAATTATAGCTTACAAATTACAACGTAAACTATTATTTTTGCTTAATTAAAACTAAATAAAGAGATGGAGATAAGCCTTGTAAATGTAAATTGTAAAATTAGCGAAACATCAACAACGCATAAAATATTAAATGAATACGAATGGAAATTATTGAATTATTATTACTTATCAAAATGATTATATAGTTTAAAATTCTTAATTAAATAAAATACTGTAAGAAGTACATAACAAGTGTTGAATTGCACGTTGCATCGTATATTTTCGACAAAATGATCATATTTGTTATAATCGTCTATTCAAAAAGAACAAAAACTCAAAAGCTTTATTAAATATTTTTGTATTCTAAAGGGTAGTAGAATATCAATTTTTCAAATAAATTGCTTTATCTATTTTCAAGTAATCACATTTACGTAAAATTTTGAAAAACAAATGATCTCATATGTCAATGACCTCACTGTCAATCATGACCTCAAAATATATATATATATATATATGACAATACAAAAGATATATATATATGACAATATAAAAAGAAGTTTATATTAATCTTTTAATCTTGTTTATAAAACATTTTTTTCAGAATCTGATCCGAATATTTCCTTTGAATTTTTATACCACAAGCACTGCTATTTATAAAAATTACCTAATTAATAAAATTATAATATATTTTTGTTTCCAAAAGGAAAAAAATTATTTTAAAAGAGAGATTAGAAATGGGTTAAATTTTGAAAATATTATTAATTTTAATTAAAAACAGCATTAATATAATAGATAATTTTAATTACAAAGACTGAGTGTAATTGAAAATTTTATAACAACTTTATAATACTCAACACAAGTATTTGAAATACGAGGAGTATGAATTCTATTTATTAGTACATAATAAATACATGAACATAAATGAATTTATTAACATGTAAATAGATTTAGAAATTCATTGATTCTTAATTTAAAATGCCCTTTGATAAATATTATGTTCTAAAACCTTATTAAAAGTCGAATCTCGTTTTCGGCATTTTTTTTTTTTTTTTTTTGTTTTTTTCATAAATACTCATCTCCTACGAATTCTATCCGAAGTTTCGTCTGTGAAGTTTCATTGGATTCTTAGAATAATTTTGATAAAGTTTGTTCATCATTGGCTTTTCTGTTCTTTGTATCCATCCGCTTCTGCCAGCTATCCTTGGTACCTTTGTATGACGTCATAACGTTAAATCGTGATTACGCGATTCATTTTGAATTGTGACGTGTTTATGCTTCGTTCGTTACATTGCGAAGACAAATAAGTCGATGTTAGTAAACTCGGCAACTGTATTTCAAAAGCAGAAATGGCCCACCAACAACATAGTGGCATGCGAGTCGACTACTACTATGCTACAAAAAGATTTTCCACTAAAGCAATAGCTAATGCATCAAAATCACGAAGATAATATTAGTTGAGCTTCTTTATTAGCTGATTTTTTTGTGCGAACTCGGTAACAAAAAAAGAAAGAGATTTTATTATCTCTTGAAAAAGATTACACATTTGTTATAGCCACGAGATGAACGAAAATGTTTTTAGCTTATATACACCATTGCTTACATATCAAGGAAAATTAGTTTAAAAATTTATTAATTTATGCACTGCTGTGAACTTTTAATATAATAATATTTACTTGAAATAGTAATAAATATCCTGAAATTTAATTTACTTACTAATGCTTTTCCATATATGTTACTAAACATGTATTGTTTAGTCTGGTTTTATTATTATTATTGATGTTAACTTTTGTAATTTTTATATTATTATTGAATTTAACTTTTCATCGGAGATTTAAAATATAATTATACTTGTAATATTTAATAATAAATTTTTTTTCATTTTTTAAACATTTTTATTATTGGTATAAAGCAGATAGAACAGTATGCTCTGCCGATATACGGTATATTCTTAGATAATAAGAGTACATTACCGACTACAAGTTTCTCAATTTCTTAAAAAGAATGACTCATTCTTATACGACTCTTTTAATTAAGATGAATGTACACAAAGTTATTTGAAATTGTATATTGGAGATAAGTAATGTTTTGCAAAGGTAAAAATTAAAATATTCTAATTCGTTCTAGTTTTAATGTGATAGTTAAAGTTTTCCAAAATTATCGTAGTCATAAATATAGATTGTATAAATGTTAATAATAATTTATCATAAAACTATGCTCTATAATTAAATGTGCAAAATGTTCTCAACCGTAATTGTCATCGTAATAATTCATCAACGTATTCTTCCAGAGTCTATTGATATTTAGTAATAAAATCGTAATGGCATTGTCGATATTTGAACTATTAAGTTCTTGCATTTGTTACAATAATGAGAAATTATAAAATATTTAAATATTCCAAAGAATGTTTAGAATATCTTGATCTGCCTTAAATTATTTAAATATTATATGAATGTAAAATCACTGTAGTGAAAGACTCTTTTATACCCATGTTCGATCAATGCTTCATTTGTGTTTATTTAAACTAAAGGAAACTTGTACTATACTTATTCGCTTATTGTAAAATACGTATTGATGAATGTGCATTATGCTTATTTGATTCACTAATACAATTGTATATGTAAAATGATAAGAAAATTGAACTTTCTTTTATAACGAAAAAACATTTTTACAATAGAATTTTACGCTCCATGTTTATATTTATTATAAAGATCTATCGATAGATAATCATATATTTAGATTTAGATTGGATATATATTTCTATTGAGAAAATTATAAGCTTTTAAGAATAAATTTATAAATATGATACTTTGCAGCTCGAATAATTAGCTCTTTCGTAAAATGTGATTTAAAAATGCCGTACAATTTCCTAAAATTGTAATATTAATATCAGTAAGGTCTATGAAACTGTTATCATAATTTTTTTTTTTTTAATTAAATTTAATTCTAATAATCATTTATGTAAATTACCATCATTCTTTTGTATCCTACTGTTATTACATATAGTATATTCTTCCTGATTTATTAAATAGAAATATTCGAGCTATTTAATTTAATTAACAAATTTCTTGTGTATTGTGATTGTCTTTTCGACACTTCTTATTTTTTACTACATTTATCTCCAGACGGAATATTTTCTTCTGTCACTACTTGCATCACATTACATCTATATCCATACAATATATTCGCATTATCGTTATGTCTTTGACAATATTAAATTGATTGATAATGATAAATTTAGCAAATAAGTTTATTCTAAATCAATTTTGATATCTAATAATATAAATACTTACTTTCTTCTATTAGTTTAAACATTTTCATCGTCGTATTACTTGCATATAAATTCATAGAATTCTGTATTAAATAATAAAAAGTGATAAGCGTTTATATATATTTTTTTTTAAATGTATTTAAAAAATAATAATTTTCATTTTTCATCAATATCATATTTATTTGGAAGCTACGCGAGTATAATATTTCTTAAAGGTGTTCGTAAAATGCTTTTAAAGTTAATTTTCTTGCTCTATTTAAGAATTATATTAGTAAAGTAGTTAACATACAATAATAAAATAAAGTTATATAATAAAAAGAATATTATCTAACGTATCCCAACAACTTATAAAATGTATTCATTCATTATTTTAATTTCGAATATTTTGACAGGTTAATTTGTTTATTTAAGTAATAATTCACTATTAATCTATTATTATTTAAAATATGTAAGGTTTGTAAATAATAGTGTTTTATCTCTTTGTTTCATCTTATTCTTTTATTCTTATTTTTCCTGTTTGCTCAAAAATAAAATATATGAGAACATATTTTTATTTTTTATGTAAAATTTCCTATAAGATTACAAACATAAATTAATTACATAAACATATGAAAATGCATAGTAGAAAAAAACAATGAGATATTAGCAATATTAACGTTTAAAATATTTTTATCCTTTAATGGAAATTATGTACTTTTTTGTCAGAATTATATAAATAATTTATAGGACTATATTTCAATTTAAAACCATTTTTCTAAAGTTCATATTTTTATCAAAAGAAACTAATCAACATACTAGTCTCATTTTATCCAATAATACTTTATATTAAGGCTTTACTTACTTTCTAAAGATTCGAATTTTTATGTAAATATATAATAGTAATAAATATATAATTACTACATTCACTTATGTCCACACAATTGAAACTACAAAATAATGTTTTCCTTAAATAAATATAAACCTGTAATATCTCTTTTATATTAGTATTGCACGTAAACGTACAAAATAAAATATTTTCTTTTAAAATAGGATACTTCAGAATTGAATGATCGTCGTAAGTTTTTATTAATATATTTGATGCTTTAGTATTATGTAAAATAACATTCCTAAAATTACCTTGAAGTCAAAAAATTCTTAATACTAATTTTTTTAATAATATAAAATTAAATTACACAAATTTTTGTCATTCGTATTAGTTTATTTATTATCTAGTCTTTAAAATACATTAGTTATAATTTTTATATAATTTTGAAGATGATAATGTTTTAAGTAATATTTTTAAAAAATTAATGAAATATGTCATCAGATATTATAAATTCCAAAATTAATTCACAAATTAATATTATTTAAATACATACGAAAAAATAAGGTATTTTCAATATATTTATCATAGATATAATATTTATTACATTTATTAATAATATAATATTGCTTTATTTTATGTATACATATTATTAAAAAGTTTAAGAAAAATAAAGCATGTTTTATATATGTAAATATGGGCTGTTTGTTGAATAATTAAATTTACGTGCACAAATAAATTGACAATTTAATAATAAAAAAAACTTTTACAGCTCTATTAGATTCGTACTAAAAGTTTCAAATATTTGTTGAATTTATATTTTATATTTAAACTAATTAAAATTAATCTATTTTGATATATTTTACTTTTTATTTACTTATTTGATTGTTAAATTTTTAGTCATTATTTTAGCTACCCATGATACTATCCAATTACTAATGGAATAAATTAAAATTTTATAATAGGCTAACAAAGGCTATTACAATATTTTTAAAGTAATTGACTGGAATATCAAGACTAGGGTAAATGTCATTGATATTTTCATGCTTGGATGAGAAAAAAAAAAGAAAAGAAAAATGAAAAGTACAAGAATAAATAGTAATATAACTGTAATATCTAGAATGTAATAACTAGAAATTTTTAATTCTCATATTTCTCTTATCACTAACAAATGTATTTTCTCTTGATAGGTAGATGAATTTTTGGAGAAGCTGTCTACACTTACCAAGGAAGAGGAGCAGATTTATCACTTCAAATCCATCTTAAGGAGGTATTCAATATCATTGGCTTTTTTTCTTCTTTTTTTTTCTTTTTCTTTTTTTTTTTTTTTTTTTTTTTTTTAATAAATGGATTGAATCATTTTTAAATGTAAATAAAATGCATATTGCTTTATAGTTTCCAAGTTATGGTTGTGAAATAAATATTAAACGTATATAAAATATAACTTAGAAAAATATTATAATGTGGTTGTTCAATATTAAGTGACGAGAATGCAATAGAAAATTAAAGTTATTTAAAGGTATAGTACAAAGTTGCATTTAGAAGTAATAAAAAATTAAAGCCAAATAAAAATAATTTTCTGGAAAATCATTTTATCGTAAATTTATTGTTCGAGGATTATCGCTGATTCCTCATAAACATCATCAAATTGTAATTAATGTATTTGCAGATGCACGCCTGATGACTTAAAAATGATTATTCGACTAATTAAACATGACCTGAGAATTAACGCGGGACCGAAACACATGTAAGACTATGTTCAATATCGTCCTCAGTGCATGTGAAAAGTGTCCATTTAAAATTAACACTAATTTGTTACATTAAGATTGGAAGCCATTCACGATGATGCCTACGCGGCATTCCAGGTATCCAGAGACCTTCCATTTATTATTCGACGATGCCTCGATAGATCATCGAAGGCGTCTGTATTTTCTCTTGAGAAAGCGTCTACTTCGACTTCGCTTCCTGCCCCCTCGAAGCTTACGAAATCACCGAAAAGTGGCAAAATTGCGAGTGTTGCGCTGATGACACCAGTCCTACCAATGCTTGTAAGTGTATATCCGTTCGTTTTCTGTTAGCCAATAAAAATATAAGAGCTTACAAGGGATATTCTTGATAAGTTATCGAAGATGATAATAGACAATATTATTTTGAATTTTCTTTATACAAAATTTACATAATACTTTAACGGATTGCGTCAATGCCCATCTTTTTCCTTGTAGATTAGATAATTATTATGTTGATGGAATCTTAATTGTACATTGAATATATTACAGGCAGAGGCTTGCAAGTCCGTAGATATGGCCATGGAAAAATGTCCACGCGGTATGTTGTCTGAAGTTAAATATGACGGTGAAAGGGTGCAGATTCATAAAATGGGCAAAGAATTTTGTTACTTTAGTCGCTCTTTGAAACCAGTATTGGCGCATAAAGTAAGAAGCATATAATATTATTATTGAATAAATTTCAAATTAGTATTAGATAAGAAAAATTTACTCGTTTTATTTTGCAAAAATAGTACTAACATTATATTCCATATTGCTCGCTCATTGCACATTCTTTAATATTGAAAAACAATATATTTTTTGACATACTATAGTCAATCATAAATTTGTGAAATATTATTCAAAAATTTTTCTATACAAATTCCACGGTATAATAATCAAGCTTACTTAAAAAGATGGATAATGTAATCCTTAATTTATGTAAAATGCAACGGAAAAGAACACGGGAGGATTTAGATTATATGTCAACATTAAGCATATTTTGGTTGAAACCCGAAGACTCTTGAAATTTAATATTTATAGAAAGAAGCTATTTGCAATTAATTACAAAACTCAAGTTGTTTAATAATGTAGAAGTTACATTTTATTGCCGATATATTTGAGGTCTACTGTTTTTCTACATTTTCATTAATATTAGAAGAAGAACAAAATAAGAAAAGAAAAGCATATAACCATATTCAATATGTAGTAATTGTAGAAAAAAAATCAAACAAAAATATACGGCTATTACAATAAATTATTTGAATAAAATAACTGTGAAAAGAAGAAAGTTATTATAAATATATTTAAATATTTTAACGTAAAAAGGTTAATAAATAATTTCTATATTAAAAAAATAACGTTATTAATGAAACATTTGCCGATTATATGACAAGAATCTTGATGCAATCTACGTTATTCTGGTGTTGCCATTGCTATGCATTAAACTAGTAAAAAAAAAGAAAAAATTTATACGTTAAGAATTTTTATTTTTATTGCATTTGCGTATGAAATTCTATTTTAGGTTAATTTTTTAAAAGATTGTATACCAAAAGCATTTCCGGAAGGTGATGATTTAATACTTGACGCGGAAATACTTTTAATAGATACGACGAATGGCCAGCCACTTCCCTTTGGAACATTGGGTGTTCATAAGGTATTAATTAGTTGGATAACTTAAAGTGAACAATAGTTCATAAACAATATTATTATTTTTTTCATTAATCACACTAATAGCAGATGTTATGACGTAACGTTTCAGAAGGCAAAATTCAAAAATGCCAGCGTTTGTTTATTTGTTTTTGATATTATTTATTACAATGGTAAATCGCTAATGGACAGGTTAGTTATTTTATATTTTTAATTGTGTACTGTTAATGCAACAATAAAATATAAAATTATCTTTATGCAGACCAATAATAGAACGAAGAGAGTTATTACAAAAGAAAATGATGCCTATACCAAATCGAATAGTATTATCAGAAATTCAAGAAATAAATGTAAGAAATGATGGATAATAAAGTGATGAAACATTTAATCCTCGCTTGATGATTAATTATTAATTTTCTTTTTAAGGATTCAAAAATATTAACTGAAATGATTCTAAAAACTTTTAAACTCCGTCTCGAAGGCTTAGTGTTGAAGAGCGTTGATGTAAGTTATTCGAAAATTAAAAATTTCAATAATAAATTTAATAAATTATTTTACTAATTTCGTTGCCATTTTACGTACCCGTATAGCATATTTTCTATTTTTTTTTTTTTTTTTTTTTTTTGACAGAGTAAATATGAACCCGGGAAGAGGCATTGGTTGAAGATAAAGAAGGATTATTTATTCGAAGGGGCAATGGCTGATAGCGCAGATCTCGTTGTTGTCGGTGCTTGGTACGGTACTGGACATAAAGGTTTGAAAATTTATTTATATAGCAATAAAATGATCGCGAAAACTATAAAAAGAACTGATTAAAATTTAAATTACCCTTTGGAATTATTTTTTAAATCGTTTATCAAATAACAATTACATTAAACATTTATCTGGGCACGTCGATGATTTTATTAACATGTTTGTTTAATTTTATAAATAATGTCACTATAAATCAATTCAATTAATTTAATATCCTTATAGTGTGATACAAATGTTTATTGCGCAAATAATTATTCTCTTTGATATGTTAAAATAAATGAGAACTTCATATGTAATATAATTCCTTATAGAATAATATCACTAAATATATTTGATTTTCTCTTTATTTGGCCGCTTAGGTGGAATAATGTCAATTTTTTTAATGGGATGCTACGATCCTGATCGTGATATATGGTTAACAGTTACCAAGGTAACAACAATTGAATATGTCTTTCACATTTCGCAAATTACATATTAATATTATGAATAGTTCAATGACTTTTACGTTACTGCTTATATGTTCAGGTGCATACAGGCCATGATGACGCAACATTAACGGAATTGCAATATTCCTTGGATATGGTAAAAATCTCCAAAGATCCCAATTTACTGCCAAAATGGCTCCGAGCAAACAAGCCTATGATACCTGATTTCGTCGCACGCGATCCTAAGGTAAATTATTTATAAAGTAATAATGTTCATGATATATATATATATATATATATATCGCATGCATTTATATATTTTATGATGTGTAATATATGAAAATATGAAATTAATTTTGTAGAATCAGCCAGTTTGGGAAATTACAGGGGCCGAATTTACCAATCAAGGCGTACATACTGCCGATGGTATAAGCATAAGATTTCCTCGCGTCACTCGAATTCGCGAGGACAAAAATTGGGAAACAGCAACAAACCTACACGAACTGAAAGAGTTGTTCAATAAAAGTACAGAATCAATAGATTATTCGCTTCTACTCGGTTCTCATCAGCAGAAAAGGCCCGCTGACGATGACTGTAATTTAGAAATAAAAGCAAAAAAACAAAAGCAATCGAGTTGTCAAGAATCATCGTCACCCGGGGATGAAAAAGCAACAAATAGCCGCACGATAAACATAAATAATTCCAACGAAGGTTTAAAAATGGAAATAGATGAAAGAGAAGAACATAAAGCAACTGTAAAATTAAAAGGACGCGATAAAAACACAATGGTTAACAAATCTCCAGGAAAAATACTAACCAAATTTCTCAATAAGAATAAAGTTTTAGAAGAAGAGGAAAAAGAACGTTCAAAGTCAAGTAATGATTCAGAGGAAGAAAATAGAGCAAAATTTTATTCTTTTATTGGCACCGACGTAAGTTACATTTCAACACTTGTAATTAATTCTTCATTATACTACATATTTATAACAAAATGATTCATAAATTACAGTATATCGAGTATAGTGCAGCAGGTAGTCCGTTAAATTGGATCAATGATCGAAAGCCACCAAAGTATTTACCAAAGGATGCAAAACCTATAAACGAGCCTGTTGAAAGTAAAATGGTATGTTTAAAAATAATTTTCATGATAATTTAAACCGAACGAAAAAATTATGTACACACGTAAAACAATATTTTCAAATAATATTTCACAACTTTTCTCTCTTACGTCGTACATTCGATTAAAACATTATACAACTAAGCCATCACGCGGATGAAGAAATATTCCCAAAAACCCATTTATTTAAGTCAAAAGTCTTAATATTAATTAAATATTTTGCAGAAATTACGATGTTTACTCTCGAACGCGCGAGTTTATATTGCCAATGATTTGGATCCTGAAAAGAGAAAAGCTGCCCGACGAACACTTAAGACGTATCCTTTCAACTATTTTTTTAAACGCTTAGTTTATTATTTACCCAAACTCGGCTTTTAAGGCTTTTAAAAAATGCTCATCTTGTGATACTTGTTTTTATAAGAATTTTTTCTACGTCTGATATTTTATATTAATCAATAATCATAAATTACGTTGCAATATTTTTTTTTATGGAAAATTCTTAAAAATCTTATTCATCTCCATAATGTTCTTTTTATCTTCTCACAATTGCGAAAGATATCGACATTAAAACTAATCATTATTTAGTATACTTTATGCATGAATAAGTATATGCGTAGGTAAAAGTACAAAAGAATTTTCAATAAATCTTTTCGAAGTAATTTTAACTTTAATTTATGTATATGTAAATAATAATAGATTTAAATAGCGTAATTTTATAAATGAATCGTTTTTAATTATGTATTTTCTAATTGATGATAATTATTTATTTCTTATTTATACTAAACCATAAATTGAATTGTAAAGGACAAAATTACTATATTGAAGCGTGTAATCGTTTAAAATTTATTCATAATTTACTATATAAAACAAATGTTGAATATTTTTATGTATCCAAATAAATGAATAAAATTTAGAAATTTTAAAAGTTCTATTAAAATATATTAATATTTAAATATATCCTAAATATAATTGCCAATATTTTCAAAATGATATATAAATAAGTTTATATAGTTATATAATGGTATGAGCATATTACAACCGCAAAATCATTTTAATTATGAAATTAGTTGTCAAATTTAGTGAAATGATTTGTTTTGAACTTTATAAGAAATTTTATTTTTAAATTGCATATACATTTATTGCTTGAGGCATCAATATATATAATTATTTTTAATTATTATTATGATACAAATTATATTAAGAACTAATTAATTGCTTACTTATGCAACTATAGATCAATTATTTTACCTTTTTCAGAAATTATACGAGAAACTTTCATAATCTTTTTATAATAGGATAAAAGTTTTTAATTATCTACTACTATAATCAATAAAAGCAATATAACTTTTTTTTTTTTATTTTCGATTAAATATTATAAAACTGTATTATCCAAATTATTAAATTCTAATTGCTTTAATCGTTTGCTTAATTAAAACTGTAATTTTTTATAGCTATAAAAATGGAATAAAAAGAAAGTTTTGATAAAATTAATTTTTCTAATATAATTAATAAAAAATTATCTGAATAGTCAAGAAAACAATTTTATACTGTACTTTGTATTACAGTAATCATAAGACATCATCACTTTACACGTGCCAGAATCTTATAGGGAGGAAAACATTATCCCTTTGAAAGCAGATTATTATAGTCGTAACAGGGTTAGAAGCACCGAAGAAATGGCAGGCTCTATTATACTCCCCCCCCCCCCCTCTCTCTCATCTCTATCTCTTAACTCCTTGTATTTCGTTCTTTCTAACTCTTAACTATTCAAGCACCCAAGGGACTAACACACACACACATATATATATATATATATATATATATGCTACCTTTGAATGGAGCTTTTTCTTGCAAATACGTCTCTCGGGGTGATGGAGGCACAAAAAGCTAACGTCAGCTCCCTAAAGACAATTTTTAAGTATAACTAAATTTGGAAAGACGCCAAGCAAAAATGTATGTAATGTAATGTACAAAAATGTTTTGGTTTTTACACTTCTCCATTAGCTACTTCCATTTGCTTTATTTTATTTCTCCAAGTTACTCATAAATTTAGATGCATACATACTTATGTATACATGTATTATAGAACATTAAATTACGTATCTTTACAAATCATATCAATTGTTTATTTATCAATTATCTTTATTATTCTAATTATTATTTGTTATAATTAATTAGGAATGATGGTAAATAGAATAATGGATATCCACGTCATATTGTAAATAAATAATAAGGATTTGTTTCAAGCATACCCTAATTAATTTTTCGATAACTTTTATAATGCGCAATAGGATCACTTTTGTCGAAACTTAAAAAATCGTTATAAACTTAAGAGAAAATTTCGTTTGGTTAAATTTTTTTTCTGATTAAAAATTTCAGTTCAATTTCACTTTCTTAGTGTCGGGCAAAAATTTTAATTTTCGAAAATAATTGTCTGTCGTTAAATAGAAAATGAATTTTTATTATTAATTATAAATTTAAGCCCTAGATATGTAAATCATACAGATTGAAGTGATGTTTTTGAGTTCGAGGATACTCTATTATCCATGCAATGATTACAAAATTAGTATACATTTATTTTCATTCTAACGGAACCAAAACATTATCCTGCATATTTTACAAAATTAATCTTATTTCAGTCATCGATTGCAAATAAACATCGATAGAAATTAAATCGATTGCTTCGTTGATTACAAATTTAATTAAATTTATAATACATTGAATAATAATAGTAATAATAATAATAAATAATAATAATAATAGTAATATACTTGATAGATAATGCAAGAGTGAGCTCGTACTTCAGAATTTATTTTCAATTTATTTCACTTACACATTGCCTTTTGGCCTCGATTAACAGCAAAAGTGCATTGATAATGATAATTTGTAAAATGTGATGAGAGAATAGTCGATAGATAAATTGAAGGATTAAAAAATAGCCACATAAGCTCATTGGAGTACAAGACTTCATTTTCCTTAATCACTTTGTATATGGAATGTAAACAGACTTGGTGCAGCGATTCTCTCGAGAGCTGAACAAAACGAAGCGACTCACGTTATCCATGGATGCGCTAGTGTAGCCGCTACAATCTTACTAGTAAGTCCAGTATTTTGCTCAAACATTTCCAACATTTAAAATACAGCAGCTATAAATGTTAATATAGGATTTATTTGATTTAGCTTGGTTAAATAGCATTGAGGGTATAACGATAAAAGTCTAGGAAGCGTCGAAATTACAAAATGATATTCAACAAAAATTTATTCGTTTCATATAATCTTGATTCCATTACAATAAAAATGATGAAGGTAATATACTTGATGGTATATTTACGAATTAAATCAGCTTTACGATAGCGCAATTATCATTTCACAAAAATAAGTATAAATTTATATTACATTGAAAAATGTTATAAAAATAAATCATAATTCGATAGATTTCGTAATTGCTTTAGAAAGCGCTATTATGTAAGCGTTACCACATTACATTATAAATGATATTATTTAGTAAATTAAAAATATTTCATTACTGACAAACGTTATAATTATTTCGTTCCGCTTAATTGCATTACTCGAGTATATTGCATTAAAATTAATTTTATTACGTACGAATCAATACTCTCTGTCAATTTGATTTCAGCGAAATTTGATTTCGGCCGTACGCATAAAACATTTAAATATTTAATTTCAAATAATCTCGAAATTCTATGGTTGGTGGTTACATGGTAAATCAAAATGACTTCTATAAAATGTAATTAACTTGAAACAAATAATGAATCGAAATTCTACATCTTGTATAACTAGCCGTTGTGTAACTATTTTGCCCATGAAAAAATCATCGAACATTTTAACACATCGATAGAACGTTAATTTCGGCTCGTATTACGAAGAAGTAATTATACTAATAAATTATATCACAGAAATGTTGGTGGTAACGAATGGGCGAATATACTTGATCGTGGCTATGATGTTTCAGTCGAACCTCTGTATATGTTCTCGGAGCGATGTGGCTTGATATACAGCAGACAGAATCCGTAATTAGATTAATGAGGTTATTCGAAAATCTATTACTGATCGTGCGAAATGACTAAAGTGGCTTACCTCCTAATTAATTGTCACTTCCAAATGGCATCGCACGATCATATTAACTTTTGACGATGTGTTAATAATAGATTCTCGACTTCTGCCTTGAAATTCATTAGAACAGCCAACATTAATTATTAATACGAGTACAGCATGACATATTCACATAATGAAAAAATATATTGCTTAAATAACGAGGACAATTCAGCAATTTGTTATTCCGATACTTGTATATATATATATAGACGTTAAATTTGAAAGTTTTGTAGGAAATACGGAGACTATGCTTCACTTTCAGCACTTATCATCGAATGAATGCGATTTACTGGAAAAATATCATTATTTTTATACAATTTGCTATATTCGTTAAAACTTCGTTAAAAAAAAAGTGTCTAAAGATTACTAGTGTTAATATTTAAAATTTACGATCATCTAATGAAGCAATTAGCCGCAGAATTTGATCTTTATATATTTTTTCAATTTTTAACACGATAAATGATGTACAATTTAATTAAATTAAATTAAAAAATCTTATCTGTATTTAATTGAAAAATTTCATAGGAGTTTGCAGTTAAAGTAATAATTTCTATGTAAAAAATATTTTTAAAATCTCATTTTTAAAATCTCTTACAATAATAAATAACAGACTGAAATTTAATAATAATGCAGTTGCGATTAATTTTAAAATACTATTTGTTATTTTTAATCATACAATACATTGCCTAAAAATGACAAATACTTATATATACATATGAATATTAAATATCAATATAAAATATAATGGTTCGATAGAGAAATCTGTAGTTAGCTCTTTTAATTATTTGAATCGTACAAATAATTTTACAACAGAACATAATCTCAAGGTATTGAATAAAATTTGATTTATCCATTTAGGAGCCCACGGATATTCCAAAATCAGCAAGACATGTAACAGAATCCTGGATATACGCCACAGCCGCAAATTGCAAAGTTGAAAATATTATGGATCACGCTGTAACTTTATCAGGTGCTTATTGCTCCTGTCCATGTCCTCATCATAAAGACTGAAATTGCGTCTTTCCTAAATCGAAATAATGGAATGAAATATAATATTTGTTTAATAAATTAATTATGTCAACGGGTTATAAATGTTTGATCTTTTTCGATATTTATTAAAATTTTTATTAAATTAAGATTTATTAAATTTCGTGGCGTAACTATAAGTAAGTAAATCAATTGATAAATCGTTAATATGAATACGTGGTTATGATGTATACTTAATGTTATTAATTACTAATTGTAAACTGAAATACAATTAATTCTTCGATTTTAATGTACAATGCATAATGATATAAATAAGTATGAATCAACTTTTATAAAGTAATAAATATATTTTTAAAGAAGGTCAATTGGCATATTGAAATATCAAAATTTTGAATGGATTGTGGACTGAAATGGAATTGAATTGATTTGTTTCATTTTGAAAAGCTATGCTGTGTCAAGAAAGTTACAGCCTGTACTACCGCAAAGCAATAATGGACAAAACGATGTGGAATCGAATGCATCAGAACGAGAAACCTACTTCGCAAAACTTTCCATTTTGCGTAATTAAATCTTGCAGCATCGAGGACAAATTTACGTTGTAGAATCTCCAAGGCTGTATTTTTTCTGGCTTCTATAAATTACTCACGGTGTACTTCAGCTGCACTTACTATTTTTTTTCTTTCCTGGTTTCATAGTTGCTCTCTCTCTCTCTCTCTCTCTCTCTCTCTCTCTCTCTCTCTACATCCTTCCTCCTTCCGTTCTCACTCGACCACCGCCCCTGCGCGCTCTCCAACTCTCACTCACTTTCTCTCTCGTTATCTATTTTTCTTCGCTCATCTATCTATCTCTTTTAAGCAAGATTTATTCCATGCGTACGGAAACACTTAGTGCAAGAGAAATCAACGCAAGATGAAAAAACTATTTAACGAAAATGTTAGATTTCCGTAATGGAAAATGGTAGGTACTGTCAAGTGATAAAGAATTAATTTAAATAACTGATATAAATGAATATCGATAATTGATTCTCATTTATAATGTTTATTTTTACATTTTAACAATTAAAGCGCAAAGTGTCATTGATTTATTAAATGAATTAAATTCCATTGCTTTTTATGAGATTAAATTGAAAAATTTTTCATACATTTTAAAATATCAATTGAATAAAACATCTTAAATAAAACGTAACGTATATATCACGATATAGAGAATTTAAAATAAAAGCAGTAGAGAAAAATGAAAAATGTTTTTGTTTTATTTTATTTTATCTACTTTAAATTCTAACGATACTTTTGCTAAAATATTGGAGTTTACTCTTCCCTTTAGATGATAGAAGAGTCAGAAATTATTATATTACTTTTTTGTCAGTAGCTCGAAATAAATCAGTACGAATAATATTTTATTTGTCTTTGTAATATCTATATATTTGCTATAAATCTTGAAAAATAAAAGATGAAAGTTCTTGAAATCGATGGCTAAAAACGTAATCAATTCTCGTAAACAAAGTGATCATCGTAATAAGTGCGAGGGCGAGTGCGAGTGCGTGCGTGCGCATGTATTTGTAAGTGCGAAATTGTCGAAACATTGATAGTGTACAAGAATGAAATAAAAATCAAATCCATTACCGATATGTATTTTTCTAATACAGTCTACTATTTATTACATAATCACATTGCGGAACGAACATATTATTGACTGTTCCAATACAAGCAAAATAATATAATTATTAAACATCTATCACAATACGGTTTACCATTTTAAAATAGAAACAAATATATTAATGCTTCTTCTCAAATTCCTGAAAACACTTACATGATTACAGTTGCAATATAGGGAAAAAATCTGTACCCTTTTTCGCAAAATTGTTATTAACAGTCTTACAGTTAACAAGAAAATAGTTTTTTCACATTTATTTCATGGATGTTCAATATTTCCGACGGATTAAAGTTTAATTGTATTAGACGAGGATTACATATTTTTCAGAAAATCAAGAAGAATAAATCAATTTTTTTTTATAATATAGTATAATAATTATCAGCTACTCCCGTTTATTTCTTTCACATTGATATTGACTAGCTTTAAATTATTTTTAATAGGACTTTGGTAATTGATAGTACGATAAGGGTTAAAAACAACCAATATTCATAAATTGCCTTCTACAACGATTCTACCATACTACATTATACTACAAGTGCTCATAATGAACTAATAAAAATTATAGAAAAAAAAAAAGAAGAAAAAATGCGAGGACCAATAAGTCGCTTCGAATGCGGCAACAATCTGATAAATTAAAAACAAAAGACTAGATTTTAATCCCACGATTATATAATCGAGAGATTATCTCTCTCTCTCTCTCTCTCTCTCTCTCTCTCTCTCTCTCTTTATATCTCGAATATCTTAAAAGAAAAAAAGAATTTTGGCAAATTATAAGAAAAAGATTTAAAAGTAAATAATTAAAAATTAAAAAAAAATGATAATGATAAATCCAGTAAGAGATTTGTTTTACTTTTATATGGCTAAGAACCAACGGAATATTAAAGTTCTTGAACAATTGAAACACAATCTCATGTAAAATCCTAATCTATAAATACTATAGGAAAAACTATTTAAACTACACCACATTACGTGTACTTTGCAAACAAACTCATCTACAGTAACCGTTTGAAATACCCGCATAAAAAGTTACATTTTCGATGATTTTAAACTATGTAACACTCAAGGATTCAAACAGAAACTATTCACGTATCCCAACCACATAAAGTAAAATACTACTCGGATGAATTGCAAATTTATCTATAATTTTTAATTCATAGGGAATAATAAGTAACGCGTGCTTTCAATGAAGAAGTCGTATTTTAAACAACACCGAATAATAATTATTTCCGAGGCATTGTTAGGAAGCAACATTATATCAGCAACGGCGCCTTTTTCAATCCACCAGCAGTGGCAATGGCCACCACCCCAATCTCTTCACTATGTTCAGCCCTTAACGCGCCGCCGTGAACGTATCAAGCGTATTCATCATTTCACTTTCCGAAACAGGATACGGCATTAAAAGCGCACTGCCTCCAATAATTGCGCTTGCGTTGCAAATCATCAACGTCTACTTGGCTCCGTAGGCGCTTCACGAACCTCCTGCCTACCAGGTAGTTAAGTAGGTCCCTCTCGATAGCTGCCCCCTCCTCGTCTCCTACCATCTGTAACTGACGAAGAAAAAAGATGATCGTCGGCTGTTTAGCTCGAGCCCTTGGGCTTCGATTATTGTGTCTCGGGAGGGCAGGATTTTGAATTTCACGAGATTACAGGCTGAGGCTCTGCCGGGATCGAAGCTCGGAGGCGACGTTTCATACGTTTCTGGCAAAATATTGGACGTGACGCGTGCCGTCGACGCATTTCTTCGCCCAAAATTTACTTAAAAAGTCTAAACTGACGTCAATGCAAATACATTTAATGCCTTTCTTACGACTTTTATCTATTTAACCTTTAAATATGATTGTCGATGTCATTGTATGGGATATTTAATCGTACGTCAAGTTTATTATGTCTTACCTATAAATTCTAACGATAAATATTCTTCCAATTGTATTATTAAAATCCATCAAATTTATACTTAATTATCGTCTGAGTATAGATATTTAAAGATAAAAAAAAAAACAAAACAAAAAAAAATTCCTAACAGTCACAATTTGATTTTTACCTATTCAAGATGATTTGTTAGGCAATAAGTGGCATATTAGACGTTAAAAAAGACTTTGAAGTATCGTTAGTTGAACGATGCAAAATTTAATTTAATTAAAATTCCTATACGTCATATAATAATTAGCTCATAATAGTCGAAATGAACAATAATATTTTTAATATTTATTTCAAATATTCGCTTTGTATAATAATACTTCTTTCGTACTATTACTCATTCGGATATCTTTCCTACTTATTCAATATAATAAATTATCCATGAGTCATCCTATGAGAATTATAAATTTCAATATAAAAAGATGATAATTTTTGATCATGGCTTTTATAAAATTCCTTGAAAATATGTGTGAGAACGCGATAGTGTGTGTATATAATTATTATTAACGAATATATTGCATAATGTAATAAATATTGCACATTATCTAGATACATATTTTTACTTGAAGAAATAATTAATATTTAATATTCATAAAAGTTTTAAATTAATCATTTAGAAATTATTTGTGTAGGAAACAGCTCGACCTTTCTAAAGTATTTAAAACTTTATACAACAATTTAATTTGGGATTGTTTAAAAAAATATTTAATTTAGCGTACATTAGAAAATATAATTTGTAACATTTTTACTTTAATTTAAGTTTACGTATGAAAGCCAATAGAATTTGCTGAGTGAATACAAGACGCGCAGATATACATCAACACATTTACATGTCAAGGGCCTGAGGCTCGAATCAAACTTAACTACCGATTGAGATCAACGTTAACAGCTAATGCGAAAAAAAGGGGGCGAGGGTCGAAGAAAGGAGGAAGCAGACATAGACGTTGAGTCGAGCGAAGGCAAAATCAGTACGGGAAAATTGGAGAAAAAACATTAGTTCGGACAGCGGAATAAAGCTGCCGTAGTCAAGTCAGTCAAGTCGAAGCCAGAGCCTAAGGTCAAAACTAATGAGAAAGAACCAAGAGCTGACAACCATTATCCACTATAAACCATCTTGGCTAACAACGTAGCACAAGGGGTCGCCGAGTCGATGAAAACGTAAAGCCGAAAAGCCGTTAACCCGAGTCCTCGGTTCATCCCTCTTTCTCACTCTCCATTTAACTCTTTGTATCCAAATTTACAATAAATTCAATTACCACAATATCCGTGCTTACTATAAAGCTTTTGAATTATTTCTCAACTATACCATAAAAACTGAAACACCTTTGCTGCCTTCAATTTTCACGCAAATATCTAAGATCGTACAATTTCGTATATAATGGTAGATTATAGCAATACGAGCTCATTATTTCAAAATGATCTATAATATTTCATTTATGTCAATGTAGTAAGATGAATGTTTTTTATTATTTCATTTTGTTTTTTTTTTTTTTTTTTTTTTTTTTTTTTTTTTATACATAACGCAAGTAAGCGTTAGAACTTATATGAAACTTCAAGCTTTTGTAGTAGAATAATTAATCTTTTCGCAAAATTGTCAAATGTGCATATGCTTTCATTTAAATAGCAATTAATTCTAAATTTATTGATATATTGGTGAGATTGCGCATATTTGAAAATAAATCTATACGCAAACGTTATATTTTCTATATTTGTAGAATATTATTTAATAAAAGAAAGCAAATACGACGTAATATCCTATACAAATTGTTAATAATATAAATATTGAATATTCATATTACAAATTTATCTATGTAAGGTATAATGATTAACATTTCCCGCTTTATATATTTCAGTACAATGAAAATTTTTGGCTACTGAAGAAATTTTATTCATTATAAATAATGATACGGCATTTTTCATGTTTAACCCAAGATATGGATTTTGAAGAAATTTATTAAAACTATAAATCAAAATCAAAGTACATTTAAATTATCAAAAAAAAATTCGAATTCATAATCGACGTAGATGTGATATTACTATGTTAATAGAGTGGGTCGTCCATCAACCATATGTTGCTTATCACTTTTATCGATAATGACATTAACAATTTCCGATACGAAGTAGATAAAAATAATACATCTTAGATAATATTATCTCGTTCGATATTGAGAATAATAAATAGTATAATTTTTCACAATAATCAATCGATACTTAGTGATTCGAGTAATTATTATTAATATAGATTCATTTTTTCATTCTTGAAGCCTTTTATATTTTTATTGTTGTTAAAAATTATTAAAAAAAAAAAAAAAAAAAAAAAAAAAAAAAACAATAAAAAAGAAAGTGAAATTTATTCTAGAATAGATTCGTAATATAAACATTGTTTGTTATTACTATTGTAAATAATTTATATATTTTTCCTTTCTACGACATTTATTATCTGTAATTACTCTTATATATTTACTTATACTTATTTTTATCCAGCTATATTCAGTTATATCTCTGCCATCTAACTAAATGAATATACGAAATTTTATAATATAATATTAACATAAGACATTGTCAATAGATAAAAATAACAATCAAAAGAATATTTTTCGAATTAACTTTAAGAATATTTCCATAAAATTTGATTACATTCGATGCTCTGACGTATGATTTCGTACATGTCAGATTATTAAAGAAAATAAGATATAGAGTTTAAAAGCATTGAAAAATGTTTCGCGTTCAATTCTTTTTTATTTAAAATACAAAAGTGATTTAATATTTTGTTGGAAAATTATATATTAGATAAATAAATTCAATAAAATTATTAAACATTTCAATTAACATTTCCTGGTAGAGCGTCATGCGGTGACGAATTTTTTTGTTATAAAACTAATTAATATTTGTTAATTATAATTTTCGCGATTCATTCAATACTTAAAGCCTGCTATCCTAATTATCATACATTATTTATTCATCTTTAGAATATTTTTTAATTTAAATTTTCGTAAAAAATGAGATTATATTGCAAGTATGATGGCGGATTAAAGGAAATATCAAATTGAAACAGATTTCATTTCCTTTAAAAACTATTAAAAAACTTATTTTACCTCTGTAGAAGTTGTTTTTATTTCATCTATGTATATCTATTCAATTATTACGTAGTGGACTTATTCAATAAAATAGTGAAATTATAGTCTTTCCACGTGTGAAAGTCATACAATTAGTTGGGCTAGTTGGCAGGCATATTATGTAAAATTCGACGGACACATCCTTATGTATAACATCAATAGGTTAGTATTCTTATTTGTTTTTCCCTAGCTGATTCGGTCGGTGAGAAGTAGGAGAAATTTCAAACGGGGGAAAGAATCAAACGTCGAGAGTTATAGTAAAAAATAAAAGGGAAAAATAAAGAAAAAGGCCAAGATGGATGAAAATATTTGGCTCCATTTTCCGCTGAATCAAGTTGTTCTCTGTCAGCTCTCGAGTAACAGTAATTTTCTTAGAACTTTACTGGATTCCTTGTCCAGGCTATTTACGTTTTTCTGTCTCGGAGCGGCCCAGTGTATAATAAAATCGGACGGCCGCCTCTGCTTATACCTTACTCACAGTTACTTTCGACGACCACGGTCGAGCAACGTCAATTTCCTTCAATCCTGCTCGTCAGCTTTTATACTCTGCCGGTCATTTATTCCATGAAATTGTTGATACAAGCCATACGTAGACTATCGAGGAAATACAGAGATTCGTGTTTTTGGTAATACGCGATCCGTGGCCCTATCGGGTCTTTGACATCAAGGTCCCATGGGAAGCCACTGAATTGTTTTTCCTTCTTGCCGTCGATGAATTATGTTCTACTGCTTTTGTCCCCCCAGCACCGCAACAAGCAACCGTGACAGTATCATAGACATTTGTAAACTAATATCGCTATTTCTTGAACGATCATACAACAATTACTTTCATGCCCTTAGGTGAAAGCTTATCTTAATATTTCGTCAAATTTTACAGAATTATACAATTAAGTAATAATTAAGTAATCCAAGGAAAAAACAAATTTACGAAATATAATTAAAGCATCGAGGGCGCGATTTGGAAATTATTAAATATTCTTTTCAATTAATTTTTTCAATTTTTCCTTTTCGGCGAGACGCCAAAATTTGACGTCACAATTACAAACGTGTAAATATATACAAATCAACATATACACACATACGTATATACATTTTTTTTTTCTTCGCATGTGTATATACGTGCGTGCATGTATGTATATAAATATACAAGAGATGATGAAATTGTATCGCATATGCTTATTTAGCATTAGAATACATTTTTACATAAATTTACGATTAGAAACAACGACGGTCTCGGTAAATTCGATTCGAAAATTAAACTTGTACAACTACTTATTTAATGAAAAAATAATAATAATAATAAAAAAAAAAACCTTGCGGTAATAGAATTTACACGCTTATAATCCAGAGTAATTTACTAAGTACCTAAAATTTCAATATGTTACTATAAATATTTAAGCCGCTAGTTAATTAATATTCGAAAGCTGAATTTATTTTTAATCTACTAGCTTATTATTAGATTTTTACGACTTTTCGTATATAAAAAACAATATTATTTTTAACATAATAAATAA